ATGAAGTCATGACATTTTTATCAAAACACTTAGTGAAATTTTAACAAGTTTGGTCAGATTTTTGTCCCAACTTCTTGGCAATTTCTCACCAAGTTCCAAGTTGATTTATCCAAAATGGTCAACATGAAAGATGTATATCATGATTCAAGCTTATAAAAATGTCTAATAACTTGAAGATATCATTTTTGAGCTAGGAGATTCAAAGACTTGAAGTTGGCATCATAAACTTGAATTATATGCCATTTTGATGATGAACACATAATCCAATATTCATGCTATGCTGCATAATCTTGCTTTACAGGCCTTATAACTTGAAAATCTCTCCATAATTAAATGTTTACACAAACTTTTGAGCTATGATCCAAGTGGTTAAGGCATTATCCAATCCATTTTTCCATTTTTGGAAGAAAGGAACCATTGCCATTTACATAAATCAAGCTTTATACACAAAGTCCACTCCTTGAGCCTCTAACTTGTTTGTTCTGATCACACTCAACATTAATGCTTAGAAGCAACATGTTTAAAGTATCTAACCACCCTATGAGCTATTTTACCACACATTGAAACTTTGATTTCTCAAGAAATCACAAGTTATGTTTCAACCAAACCATAACTTCAAACTTGCAAACCTTGTCAGCTCCTTCCCTTAAACTTTTCCCTATAAATAGAGGTCATCTTTGCAAGCTATAGCACGAATGGACAAGCCCTTAAACCCTCTCATACACTCTCAAACCCGAATTGACCATAAAACTCATTTCTTGAGTTTTCAAAATCCATTTCTTTGAAACTCATCACTCTTGCAACTTTTTTCCAAACAAATCATCCAAACACTTTATATACATCATATAAAAGTGATTCAAACACCTGTTTCACTTATGTAATCACTATATCATCATACACCATTTTCAAAATCCACCATTGCAACTTGACTTGAGTAGACAAATCCAGAAACTCTAAAGGCAAAGTAAGAGTTATAACATACTTAACAAGGTCCAAAAAAGCTAAAGCAAGCATCACATTACTTCTAGAAGTCGTGTAGAGGACATTGAATTTTTGCATCAAGAGGTAAGTTTTTCCAACTTTTAAATCTTGACACAAGCATCATTTACACTTAATTTTAGAATATAAAATGTATATAACATGTCTATGAAGCTAACCATATCCTTAAAATTTCATTTTAATTGACCGTGGGATGAGAATTTTGAAACTGAATTTTTTGAACACTTAAGTTTTCATTTGGTACTAATAGAAAATTCGTGAAAATATTTGAGTTATAGCTTCAGAAAATTATACCATTAGATTCCTTGCAAAATTATAATCAAGTTTCATTTTTACATTTTCGAATTTGGATGAGAAATGAGAAAGTTATGCTTTTTTGACATTTTGTTATAGTTACAGTTAGGGGTGTTCGCGGTGCGGTTTGGGCGGTTTTGAAGAAAAAAATCATCCGAACCGCAAGAAAAAAAAACATGCGATTCGGTTTGGTTCGGTTCATTGAGAAAAAAAATTCAAACCAAACCAAACCAATGCGGTTTGGATTGGTTCGGTTTTGTTAAATGTATAAATGCATAACACATATTTACTCACATGTGGTAACACTACTGTTGTTACAATTAACTTTCATATATTCTCACAATTTGACACTAATGTGAGTTTTTTCTTCTTGCACACAATTTGACAATAATTAAAATAGTATGCAATCAAATGCAATATTCAAAATAGTTGACATGAAAATAGTATTTAATACATAAATTAACCATCCAAGTAGTATTGAATCACTAATAATCAAAAACATCAAATTAACCATCAAAGTAGTATTCATTTCAATACATAAATTAACCATCAAAATAGTATTCAAACGAAGGACTTTAAAGTCATCAAAACTCAAAAGCACTAATAATATGTTTCTTCAATTGTTTCTTCTTGCTTCTTGGATTGAGCTGCCAAGTTGTAAATCACCTTCAAGCAATAACATTCAAAACACAAATCAAGTTGTAAATAATTATAAATATTAGATTCCAAAACCTGCTACAAAAAGTAAAACCATGCCATATAACACTATAAACAAAAACCAATTATAGACAAAACAAAAGCAAAAAGAATCTACTACAAATAAAACATACCATTTTTTCAAGCAAGTCTCTAATCAGATTCAATATCAGAAAGTCCCTCATTTACTTGTGGGATTGGATCCATTTCTAAAAATAATCAAATATATTACCAAATGTTAGACAAAACAAACAATTGAATAAAATATATTCATAAAAAAAATTTACAACATATACCTTGTTCGAGTTTCTCCAAGTCTTCCAAGTGCTCTTCAATATCCACTTTCAAAGGAGAGGATCTTAACCAATTTTGTGCACATATTAAAGCTTCAACGGTATGGGGTGTAAGAGAGCTCCTATAACAACTAAGAACTCTACCCCCTGTGCTAAAAGCTGACTCCGAAGCAACAGTGGATATTGGCATAGCCAAGATATCTCTAGCTATTAAACCAAGAGTAGGGTATTTGGTGGAATTTACCTTCCACCAATTCAAGATGTCAAAATCCTGACTTTTCTTCTCCCTCGTCTCTATGAGATACAAATCCACTTCATTATTAGTTAAATTTGAATCTTGGTCCATGTCCTTCTCAAATTGATCATCCATATGATCAGAAGATGTAACAACTTCCGATAGCCCTATTTCTTGTGCAGCACTTTCGGCTTGGTCTTTACTTAAGAAAATACTATAACTTTCAAACATTTTGTTTAATGTTTGTTTCACCTTATCACACAAAAAATCAGCAACTTCCTTCTCATAAAACTTATCCAATCCCCACTTAATAAATTGGAACTTACGTCGAGGATCAAAAATTACAGCAATAAAGACTAGTATATTCATCTTTTTGACTTCTCCCCAATAATTACTATATTTATCATCCATAGCATTAGCCATATTTGTAAGTAATGGGTCATCTTTATGACATTCCTTCCAAGTCTTTAATGCCCCCAATATTGTACAATGTTCCATGAAATAAGTAGAAGATGTTACATAAGTAGAACCTGACACCTTTGTAGTGATTTCAAAAAACAACTTTAAGAATTTCACAAAACACTTGGCATTATCCCAATCCTCATTATTTGGGACACCACCTTCCAACATCGCATACTCAACACATTTCTCACCTAATCTCTTAAAGGCTTTTTGAAACTTTAATGCACTTTCAAGCATAAAGTATGTGGAGTTCCACCTAGTGGGACAATCATACTTCACAGTAGACTTGTCTTGTATCCTAACTTCTTTAATACATGTCCTAAACCTATCTAAACGACCAGGTGACTGACGAACATACCGAACCGCTCTCCTAATTTTGGAAAGTGAAGAATGCATGTTCTTCAACTGCAACCCATCATTGACAACAAGGTTAAGAATGTGAGACAACATCTAATATGTAAATGCTCCCCTTTTAATGGATGTGAATTCCAATCCTCCATTCTATTTTTTAGGTAAGCGATAGCAACATCATTTGAAGAAGCATTATCAACTGTGATGGTGAAAACCTTATCTATCATCCAACCCTCCAAACACTTCTCAATCTTTTTCCCAATTATCTCCCCTTTATGAGAAGTTATTGGACAAAAGTTGAGAATCCTTTTATGCAACTTCCAGTCTTGATCAATGTAATGCGCAATAAGAACCATATAATTAATATTTTGCACAGAAGTCCAAGAATCAGTTGTTAGACAAACACTTTGATTTGTTTTAGTAAACATGCTTCTTAACTTATGTTTCTCACTCACGTAAAGACTCAAACAATCCCTAGCAATTGAAATCCTTCCTGGAAGTGGGAACCTAGGTTGTGTAACACTCATAAAATGACATAATCCTTCGTTCTCAACAAAAGAAAAAGGCAATTCATCCACGATTATCATTCTAGCTAAAGCTTGTCTACACAATTCAATATCGAAATGGATACCAACAAGTGCATTAATATTTCCTTTAGAACCTTCTTGAAGGCTAAGAGTGGTTTGACTAGGATCAAGAACATGTTTGGGAATTTTTTTACATTGATGCATCAAATGATTATTTAAATTTGAGGTTCCATTCTTATGTGAATCAGCTGCATAAGATTTCGTGCACCAATTACATTTAGCCCGAGTACCGGATTCATCTCTTGTAAAATGATCCCAAACCCAAGATTTAGGCCTACAAGGTTTTAGTTTACCTGAATCTCCAGCATTAGAACCACCAGCTTTAGACTCATCCGCTTCTCCAACTTTCCTTTTCTTTTTGTGTTGAACATTGCAGCCTTCTTGTTTGTCCAAATCAATAGTTTGTGGTTGGTTTGTTGTAGGCGTCGGTGGACTATTTTGAGACTGAAAAACATAACACATACACTGTAAATATAACTACTTTATTATAGCCATTAAATAAATTCCAATCACGAACTTAACATTTATCAAATACACTTATTTATCATTATTTTACCTGATTTTCAGCCATGGAAAAGGAAGCATCAGAGCCAGCAACATAATTGACTTCTTTATCAATATTCATATCTAAGAAATAGAGGAGACAATATATTAGAGACAAGGAAATGAAAATATTTTTATATTAAACTTGGCAATGAACTTCAACCAAGTCAAAATATTTTTGAGTTGTGCTTAAGATAAAATCATGTGGCATTAGCAACTCCATTTGTGAGAGTTGATTTGTTGAGCAACAACTCCAATAAACAATAGTCCAAGAGATATTAATCTGCCGCATTCCAACTCCATTCATGAGTGGATTCTTCAAGTGAATCAATTATTTTGCGTAGAGAGCATGTTATATATTAACTATATATACAATGTGCTAGTTCATACTAAAAATATCAAAATGGCCATAAGGTTCACACTCACCTCTTTTTCCTTAAAAAACATCATAGTACTTCACTTTTCTCTCTTAAGCATCACCCTAACTCCCTAAGGTGTGTAAAAACAAAAGAGAATCATGCTCTACCACTCACTTTCTTCATGCATGACATTCTAGGTGGATTAAACCCTTCAGAAAGAATCATGAATGGCATCATTGTCAACACACAACCAACCACTAACCTTCCTTTCTCAAAACCAAATAACAGATTATTCCCTACTAAAGGAAGCATACCAATTTTCGACACTAGCATTAGTACAAATGGTTTTCCCTCAAGCACACCAATGATAAAAAACATTGACAAAAACAAAGTGATTATAGATAGTGCTGACTCTAACTCACTTCCTTACAAGGAATCAAATCCCGATCGGAGCAACTCTAGAAAAGCTTTTATTTGGAAGAATAACTGTTATTAATGATGAGATTACAAAAGGGTGTGAGTTGAATTCGGAGATTATTGGTAAAGCGCAAGGTTTTCATTTGGTTAGTTCTTTGGATAGAAGCAGCCAAACCATGGCATTTATAGCTTTGTTTGGTGATGAAGGTCATGAAGATGATGATGCTATTAGTTTCTTTGGAGTTCATAGAATGGTTACACATGAATCCTATATTGTTGTTGTTGGAGGAAGTGGCAAATATGAAAATGCAAGAGGGTATGCGAAAATTGAGACGTTACATTTACATTATGATCAACACAAAAGTACTAATGGGATGGAAACACTTTTTCAGATTACTGTCTATTTATGATTATGATAGTTATATAGTTGTTTTGTAGTAAAGAATATCTCATTATTCTTTGTAGGAAAATATGTAATACCTGCTATTTCTCAAACCACTTTTTCAATAAATCATGTCTTATTACTTATTACTTAAACATCAATAAGATTCAACAACATCATGATCAGTAAAACAACAGAATAAACATTATGATCAGTAACCAAACCAAACTGATTTTCAGATTTCAGTAACCAAAAAGAGAAAATAGAACACAACTTGAACATGATGAACAATAATGTTACCTAAGTGATTTTCAGATTTTGATAATGTTCTTTGAATTCAGTTTGTGTTTCGCTTGTTGCTGATGTTCTTTAACTTCGATTTGTGTCCGCTGTTCTTCGATCAACAAGGTGGTGTTGTGATGTGCGTGTTTGTTCTGGTGTGAGTGTCCGCCATTCTTCTTCAATGTACCGGCGGCGGCGACGGTGTACTGTACGTCTGTACCCTAGCAAGCAAATTGGTGAAACAACAATAAACATGTATATTGGATTTGGGCCAGTTAATAATTGGGCCTATTTCAGTAATTAATAAATAAGTTTGTAAACATCGCGGTTTGGTTCGGATCGGATCGGTTTGCAAAAGAAAACCGCAAACTGAACCGAACCGCACGGTTCTGTCAAAAATTGGTCCGAACGCATCCGAACCAAATGCGGTTTTTGCGGTTTTCGGTTTGGTTAGGTTCGGTTTGCGGTTTTTTATTGGGTTGGTTTGGATCTGAACACCCCTAGTTACAGTAATGATGAATGCAAAGAAGAAGAAGAGAAAAATCCAATTTTTTTGAAAAGAGTTTATTTTATATTTAATGTAACATGTTTCATAACCAGATGAAGCAACCACCCTAGTGGTAAGACAAGTGCACCTCTATTATAAGGACCTGGGTTCGAGCCTTAATGTTACCCTTTTGGCTATTTTCTCTATTTTCAAACATCATTTTCTTACTTACTTTTCATCATTTTCAATCAATTCTTTTTGCATTCAAATTTAATTTGTTCAAGCTAATTTTTTTCACACTATTAGTTTACCACCTCTATTTTATGAATATTAAAAAATATCACAAAAAATATTTTTATTTTATTATTTTTAAACTAAATCAAAATAGGTACTTTTTAGGTTTTGTAAAGACTTCCTTCTTATATTTTTGAATAAATTTTCAACTTTGCTCCAAAGCTTGATTTTACAATGATATGTCTTGATTCACATGAGATATCTTAATACTTGAGTAAAAAATTTATGATAGCTTAAGCCTTTTTTAAGACTTTTCTCAACCAAATTCATATTAAAACATGAGACATATATAAAATCAAAAGATATGCTCCATGATTCTCATCTTGATTGTGATGCATATATTTGTTTCAAACATACCAACTCCAATCATTTTTTCATAAAAAAAATACAAAAACATTCCAATTTCTCCTTTTCCTTATTTATTATTTATATTTCTAGATCAATTGTATAGGATCCAACTATTTGGTCTGTAATAGATAATTAGGATTTATTGCTTTCCTCCCCATTCACAAATTTGTACCCCCCATTCCCAAAGCGTTGTAATAGCGTAGAACATTTAATTTCTGCAATTTATCGCTTTCCTTATTCTTGTTAGTAATTAGGGTTTGTATGGCAAGATTAAAATCAATCAAAGAAAAACCCTAATTCAAGATAAATAAATTAAATCAAACACACTTTGCACACTTATACCTCTAGGGTAACCTCACTTGTTGCCTCGGATAAAAAATAGTCATGTCCCTCGAACATGGGATGTTTTAGCACAGATCCTCGATTAAAAGATCGTAGTTCCTCGATGACCATTTGATGTTGCCTTCAATAAAAGATCTTAGTCTCTTACGACAATTGCTAAAGCGTCTTAGAAGTTACCTTTTGTGACTGTATGATGACCTGCGCTCGTCCCTCACATCCAATGATATGCCTTCCTACTAATTAATGGTAGGTAAGCATTATCTAAATGAGGAGGAAAAGAACAAAGACTTTTTGAGTAGGTAGATTACTCGTAATTGCTTGTTCACAAACTAAAACCACTTTCACACCTCACACTTTCAAAAAGAAACATCTTTTCAAACACTCTCTTTTCAAACAAATATTTTCAAAACAAACACTTTGTATACATTCCCAACGATACGAGAATCATTACAAAGTTTGCCGCACTAAGGCGTTTTCAAAATACTTCCAAAATAAACATTTTGTATACATTCTCAACGATACGAGAATTATTACAAAATTATAATTTTCAAAATACCTTCAAACATACATAAGCATAAAGCATTTTCAAATTGATCAAGTAATTAAGAGCTTGTAGATAACTACGGATGAAAATAGTGCTAACACCTTCCCTTTTCATAACCTACCCCCCGAACATAAGAAAATTCTCAAAAGGCCCTTCCTGTTCTTTTCACCCTTTCCTTTATTGGATAAAAGAAAAGTCGGTCGCGACTCTTGCTATCCGCAACATTTGCAACCAAACACAAAACACCCAAGTCAGTTCTCCACCGTATTACAGAACTGGCGACTCTGCTGGGGATACGAAAAACTAAAAGTGGGGTTACCTTAAGAGCTAGATCACCTTTATTGCTTTATTTGTTTGCTTTGTTTGCTTTACATTTTGGGTCTATGCTTGGGTTTTTTTCTTGAAAATATCTTATATCCGGATCTGGGGTATATTAGATAAGTAGCAATAGATCGTGGAAATTGTACAGTGTAAACCGATATGGTTGAAGCGATAGCTACGTTAGTGTGACACATTTGTGGGTACCGGTATCCCTTGAGTTAAATCAAGGAGAATACGAGCCTCTGAGTGGTGTCATAAAGCACTAACGGACTGCAGAACCTTAGTTGAACAACTTGGCCATTAGAAAGTAGTGAGATAGATAGCTTTGGTGCAGACTGAAGTTGGTCAATACTCGATACTACACTCATTGAGATCTGACTTTCGGGATATTTCAGTCACAAAAACAGATTGCTTGTGCTAAAACAATTCCTGATGAAGAAAGATTAATGATATTGAGATTCCTTAGAACCCGGTTACTTTTTAGGACATGTCGAACCAACTAAAACTTTAAGAGGGTACTCACCTATAAAACCCATGCAAGCTTAAACCTAAGGCCTTGTGTGTTTTGTTTGCGATTAATTATTCATGATATCATAAACATCATGACATCATTCCATAGCATTTTCACTAACCATTTCAAGGACCTAGGGATTTACCTTTGTTCTATTTTGTAGGATATGGATTTCGTTCGCAAAAATACCATCTGAATCAGCTTTGTAAGGGTGCCTCCTATAGCGATAGAAATGTTTAAGACTAAGCCATTGGATTGACTAGACTTATACAGATCAAAAATAAAAATCGCCACCACACTTTATTATTTCCAAAGGAATGGGAAAAGAGCGAATAACTAAAAAAGAGGGAGAAAGATTCAAGGTAAGGGGGGTGGTTATGCAAAGGGAAGGTATTAGCACCCTAAACATCTACAGTACTCCACAGGAACCTCTTTGAAAAAATCTGTATATTTTGGCTATAAAATGTTGTATGTAAAATAACTAGTGGAGGTGAGAAAAGAAATTTTTTTTTATGATTTTCGCACCCGCTGCGGTTGCGAACCTTTAGTGCCTACATACCACCTTTCGTGCAATAGAGGATCAGGGTACACGTAGTTCACCTTTAAAAATTTTAAAACACAAGTGTGTTGATTGATTTATGTGATAAGACATCATCGTCATTGTCCATGTGGAAAACATACTTACTACCCACAATTATGAGAAAAGAGAATTTGCATCATCTCAAAGTGGAGGATATGGCTTGGATTTTAAAATCAATAATGCCTCACTCAACACCCAAGTAGAAAATATCTCACTTCACTACATATTGTAGAAGTATAGTTGTTTGCATCACTACAAGGATTGACAAGAGTCTAATCTCTTGAGAAAGATTTTAAAATAAAAAGCCAAGGTGGCAAAATAGTTTGAAATGAGTTCGATTGACTTTTAGTCTTCTCACAAAAAATGTCAAGGTATTATTAATTTGATTGGAGTTTGTTTATGAAAAATGTTTTGAAAATGCATGGACCTAAGTCCAAGTTTATTATGAAAGTGGTTCAAGTCTAAAATCAAGAAGAGTTTTCAAAAGGAGTCAAGATAGGGAATAAGAACCATTTAACCAACAAGAAGCCAATACTTGACATTATGAGTCAAGATAGAATTACCATTCTTTGGATTGAAACCAAGCAAACAAAGATACTAGACCTCTTGAGAGAACTAAACTTCAAGTATTTTAAGTCTTCACAAAAATTGGGCAGAGTAACCACTATATACGGGTGAATTCCAGATTACAAACAAAGTATGTAATCACAATAACTAGCACACAAACAAAAAAAACAACCTAATGTCTTGAGGTAAACCTCAAGAACTCCAGACAAAATATCAATTAAGATCACAAGGTCTCCAACATAGGCCAAGGTTTCTAATCCTAAGTCGAAGAAGTCCAATACTCCATAATGCCAAGGATAGTAACCAAATAGTCCAAATGTCATTAAAGCTTTTTATGGTTCATGTTGATTATTAGGTGTCTTAAAAAAGGAAAAGAAAAGCTCAAGTGAGCAAAATAAAAATAACAAGAATATAAATGCTCAAGTGAGCAAAATAAAAATGGAATGAAATGTAATGCTTAAAGTAAATGGTACATAAAGCATAAAAATAAAAGCATAAAGTAAAAACAATTTAATAATTAGTGGTTAGTTGGATGACCATCTTGAAACTTGCATTTGGAACTCATTAGAGGATTGGTAGAACCAAAGCCTCCACACAACAAGTTGAATTTGCTTTTTGTCAAGTATATCATCCATTTGGAGTCGTCAAAAGTATCATTTAATGATCAACGATGTTTAAGTAATCTGCATTGACCAAAAGTGTTGTAGATCTATTAGAGGATTGGTAGCACCAAAGCCTCCACACAATGAATC